AAGTATACCCCAACGGTAGACTTGTTGTGCAGGACTCACCTCACCTGAAAATGCATCCTGTTCCAGCCAACATGCTGTCTGATATGGTTGTCCACAGGGTTTTCCTATGCCATCGATACAACTGGATGTAATGCCACCAGTCCACCACCCACCGCCGACCTTCACTCCTGAGGATTGGAGATAACAACTTTCTCCCACCCACTTTATGGATCCTCTGAGCCCATGGAAAGCTAGAACAGGTCAGTTAAGAGGCAACACAGAGCCACTGCGCAATGTCTTGGAACAGATAGTCGAATATCATCACAACCAATAGAATTGGAATTTTGAGAAAAGAGAGCTCGGTTCCATTCAGGAACTCCGTGAAACTCCAAGTGAGACAATCATTTTGAAACCAACTTCACTTTTGTCATATTTTGTTTCTTTCTTTACACTTGTACCTTCTCTTTATTCCGCAATCCTGCTACCTTTACTTCACGTCAACTTATACTCCCACTGCTGTCGTACTTATAATTTGCCATACGTATTCAAACAGCCTGCTTATCTCCATTATAGTCTAGAGAACTTCTCCCTACTACAGCGACGTACGAACAATGTCTCAATAAAGCCAAATCAGTTAGTGAATAGAATATATATATAACATATCCCCTCAAGTGGACGTAGAGATGCTAAATATCTAAGGTATAGTTGTCGAGACCTTGGTATAATCCACTTAATTAGGCTCAAAAGGTTCGTCTTGTGTACAACTATTGAAGGACATGGCAACACAAGCTTAAGGCTCTTTTGCTATTCTACTACAGTGGATTATACTAACAGCTTACTGCCTGCCTTTTAGGTACTTTTCCGTCAAAATCGTCACTGAAAGCTGCTGAAATGCAGATAGGAATTAATGGGCGTTGATAAGGCATATCCCCTGTTTGAAGTGGCGCCTCCAGCTTTACCTTGAGGACATTTGCGCGGTCTAGTTGATTTCAGTTTGGCTGATTTGTTCCGTTAGATCTAGGTAGCTGCATTTGACGTGATTCTGGTTTCTGTTTGGCTTGAACTGTATTGATTTTGTTAAGAATAGTCGTCAAAAGCTGCCTCTAGGCCTGAAGGCACTTATGGTGCAGGAGGATGCTTGAGAATGTGTTTCATGTGAAAATTATAGGGTGCACCTAAAATCCTCCTGTTTGTGGCGTCTCAATGATTTCTGTAGAGCTTCGTTTCATCACTTGTGTCCATATTTGTCGTTCACGAGTGTTTCAGTAAATGTTTATGGCTATAATCAGGAACTTTCCAAAACGGTAACTGTGGTAAGGAATTTATATTTTTTTCCGCTATAGTTTCCAAGTCAATGTCTCTTTTAAGTTGCTTACTGTACTCTGTTGGCTATTCATGAATTTTTTATTGACAAGCTTCTGTTTTCATTTACAGTGGTACCGAATGGACGCATTGGCACTTGGAGACAATGGCGACCAACCTGCCCTTCTTATATCAGTGGATATCAAAAACCTTTTTGACGGAATTATGTTTAGTCACCGGTATACCAGTTGGGTTCAAGTAGAAGATGCTCTAAGTCAGCTGGAATCAGTAATATATGTATATATGTATGACAGAGTATTCCTAGGCAACTCATACACATTATGTAATCAAAAAGTGCATACGGGACCATGAATCTCAGGATTTGAAGTACAAATTAGTAGTCTTTCGTTGTACATATAGCATGAAGCGAAAAACTAGAGGTTCAGGTTTACGCGTCAAACCGTAAGAATTCTATTATTTATTTCTGCAGTGCAAAATACACCGGTTGCCAATCTGGCTTTCGTATACGCTACAAGGAGGACGAGTTTATCATTTCTTCCGCGAAAACAGTTCACAATCACAGATGTGAAAAAAGTCTTATGATAGGTGATCCATATTTTAGACGCCTGTCCGGGGATGAAAAGGAGAATATTGCACCAGTTGTGAAGACTACATCTGAGGTTGCTGATGTTTTGGAATATGCTGAAGAGAATTTTAATAAAGTTTTGACGAGCACAGATGTGTATAATTTACGTAAGGATGTGAGACCAGGTAATTGATGTAGTTTAAAGTTATTTTTGAAGCCATGCCTTTGAGATCAGATGTTATGCGCATAATAAGGCAAACTTCTCATAGTCTAGGTGAACAGTATCATCAGTAGACTGTAAGCTGATGATGATAAGTCTCTAAAGTCATTTATAGACTATCCTAGTGATATATGTGTGATTGGATTGAAATGATATAAGGATGACAGTTTAAGAATTCAGCCTTGTGTTACATCCCAATTGGAAATGTGTTTTCTCGGATAATTCGCAAACAGTAATCACTGAATAGAAAACCCCAGCCAGCAATTTTTTGGGGCAGACCTAGGGCGCATTGCAGATCTTTTGGGGCACTTCGGGCGCATTGCAGACATTTTGGGGCAGACTTCGGGGGCATTGAAGACTTTTTGGGGCAGACTTAGGGTGCATTGCAGACTTTTTGGGGCAGTCTTCGGGGCGAATACTCAAGAACGGCAATGCGCCCAAAGTTTTTTGCCCCGAAGAAATGCTAGCTGGGACATTCTGTAGAATTTATGAAACTCATTAACTGACGCAATACTTTTGCAGGCATTATAGTGTTTCCTCAATAAAGCGAGATTTGTATATTTCGGCTGCATAAAACGAGTAAGTGGTATCCTGGCAATACCAATGACTACAACAAGTCTTGGAATCATGCACCACAACTTTTACTTTACTGAATACTCCAGCAGATTTGAAATATACACTTGACAAATATCTAATTTATACAGGAAGTCAGTAAGATTTACTAAACTAAAAGCACTTTCGGTTTACATAGGAGATTTCCATGCCGAATTTATTCCTCCGAGGGCCTACACAGATTACAACTTCAATTAAATAACATTGACGTTGAAGAAATTCCATTCTTCATTACTAAACTTAATGATAATAATAATGTTTTTCTTCTAGAAACAGGAGCATTCCTAATGTTTCATTTTATGTAAATGCAGTTACATACAGTTGCACTAAGAACTCAATGCAACTCGGTGCACAATAGTATATACACAAATAAACTGAAAAATAACGTCCTCCTTACCTTCTGAACAACTTTTCCTTATTACAGGATAATAACTTTCTTTCACGTATGAGCCTGAGATATGTCTATGAAATCACAATATTATATCAGTTAAATCTCGCCCCGAAACCAAGGCCACTTGAAACCAATAGCAACATGCAGACAAACGTCATTGAGGGGATATGCAATAAAGTCGCTCGAATTAATTCTATCATCTACTGTCTTTCCTTTTCAGTCAGGTTGATATGCAAGAATTGAGTTACAAATATAAAGAATTTGTGATAGCCTGATGAATGACGTTCAGTTAGGATTTTTATGGTCTTTTTTAAGCAAAAACAGCAACGTTTTGCTACATCACCATTTCCATTGGTGGCATAAAACTAGATATTACACTATGGTTGTTATCATTGTTCCCTTAAGTTTCGAGTGCTACATAGGGCTAAAACCAAATATCACTGCATTGTTTTATTCTCTGCAGCCCTTTTTAGCTGGCCCTCTGACTGCCCATAATCTCTCATCTTCACCTCGCATGATCTTCTCCAAGTCACCGCTGGATGACCCACTCGTCGTTTCTCATTGGGGTTCCGCTCCAGCGACGGCTAAGTGGGTGGTGTCATTCGATGGTCTCTTCAGGTTATGTCCTATTCATGCCCTTTTTCTTCAGTATATTTTCTGAGCAGTAGGCTCTCACTTGGTTCGTTTCCATAGTTTCTCGTTGCTGATTCTTTCTGACTATCCATCTCGTCTTCAGTATGCAACCAGCGAAGATGGCTGTTGACAGAAGCATGCCTGAAATGCTTCTCATGATGCGCCAAGTTTCAGACCGATATAGAATAAATGACTGACCTAAAATTAGTGTTTAAATTCGAAATTTGTTACTCACATTGACCGCAGAAGATTTCCAAGCTGATATCAGGACGACGAAGGTCTGTGTGACCCTTACGATTCTGGTTTCGACATCCTCATCAGTGCTGCTTGACGTCTAGACTAATTTGCCTGTATAAGTGAAGGAAGTAAACTCCCCGAAGTTCCACCCACTGAATGACTGGTTTCGCCGTTCGTTGATTACCCTCATCAACTCCGTCTCCCTTACTTTTACTTGAAATCCGGACTTTGCTGAGAACAAATTATTAAAACAACAAGACGATATTGATGCTTTTAGTTAACCTCCAGCATTCATTTAAAAAATATACACAAATAAATGTTGTAGCTAGAAGGTTTACGAAAGTGATGATGCGGTGGATAACACATGCTTGTACATTTACTTTACTCACCGATTTTCAATACATATTTTGAAAGTTGCAATTTCCCCTGTTGATGGTGATTGGTGCTAGGTTTTGTTGCTGCTAGCTGGTTATTTACACTCCCTCCTTCTTTTCTATGTTCACCTAAAGTCTTGTCTTCGCTGTCTTCTTCTTATGCAGTCTGTTTTCGTTTGCAAGTCTCCGAGTTTGTGTGACATCAGACATATATCATCCGAAAAATCCAGATCATCTAGAATCTTATCATTCCAGGTATCCCGGACTTCTCGCTCGCAATGCACATTCTGACGCATAATCCAGTTTACCACAATTGCGAATGTCATCGGGGATAGTAGGCAGTCTTGTCCCACTGTTGTATGCACTTCGAATGCCTCGCCGAGTTTCCGGTTGTGGATCACCTGACACACAGCATTGTCACATAGCCAAATGGTGAATGAGGCTGATAAAGTTTTGGGCAATGCGAACCGCAGTGTCGAAGTAGTTACCAAATTACTTCTTTGTTGACGCTGTTGAAGGCCTCTTCGAAGTCGATGAAGAGTTTTGATTGCCAATCTACACTCTGTTTGATGACGATGCATAGAATTACAATCTGATCAGGACATAATCTGCCTTTCCTGAATCCATCTGGTTTCGATCAGAGTTTCTTATCCAGTGCATCTCATA